TGGTCTAATGAAAGACTTTGAGGTACAATTCATCGCTGATAAGTAGTCCCTCTGCCTGGAATGTTTATTAGACTGACAGCACAATGCACTCTCCTTGCCACTTAGGACTCAGATGAATTTTAATAGGAGCAAAAAGCTTTTATTTGCACTGTAATTTCACTTAAGGATCATATCCTTCAGAAACTGGCAGACACTTGTATGTCTTGATTGCAAAACACACACTCAGGAGTAAAGAAACATGCAAAAGATGTTATTATTCAACCTGTCACAGTGGCAAATCTGAGCGGAACTTAGGCCATCGGTGTTCCTCCTGGGGGGTCTCCCTTGCCCTTTCAGAACAAGTCCCACAAAGAGCACCCAGAAGGAATTCCGCCATGCCTGTACAGAACTAGAGGGGGAGTTCTATTTTGCCTTTGCATCCCTGCCATCATGATGCCCACAGGCGGCTTTGAGTTACAGCATCTTTTTTCGAACAAAATGGAGCTGCCTCCGTGTTGTATCTCTCTTACCCAAGGGAGATGCAATTTGGAAGGAATTCAGAAATCTTCAGGTGCTGGTTTCAGCCTCACTGAGTAACCCCTCCTCAAACCAGCTGAGTTTGTTTCTTTTTGGGTAGACCAAACTGTGGCTCTTCTATTTGTTCATAGAGATCCAGGATATTTTCCCCTGCCAGGCAGAAACTCTATTAGAAATGTTCTGTTTGACTGAACTCCCCTTAACCTGCCCGATTGTTTGAGAACCATATACAAAAGGTTCCATTAAAAATACTTGCTTGTGCATAATGTTTCTCTCAATGGCTTAAAGTCTGATATTATTGTCTCTCTGTGTAGAAGATAGTCCTTCTATTTCATTTTTATCTACCCTAAGCGTCTTGGTACCTTGGAAAGACTACGCCATGTTGTGCCCAAAAAGAAGAGCTAACTTTTTCTGTAGTGAATATAACATACTGTGCCTCTAGAAAGAGATTGAATTTTAAATATTATTTTGCCCCAAACGAACACTGAAACCCTTTGTCTTAACTTGGTGGCGCGGCCGCTCTCGCGGGGAGCAGGAGCCTGAGACAGCGATCTGCTGCCATCTGCTGGCGGGTGCCCGCAGAGTCACCCCTCTCCCTCCTGCAGATCCAGCCAGCTCATAGAATCCGTGTTAATTGGGATAAGTTTGTAAGCAGTGAAGGGAATATAAGGAAAAATCCTCACTGTTTTCTTTACAAGGTTTTGAGATGTTTGTCTTACAGGGTGACTGCTATTTCTCACTAATTAATTACTGGAGTTGTTCTCGTTTCAAGAAATTTCTTAAATAACCAGCTCACAACATGTGCCAGAAACAAAATGACTATATTTTGTTTCTCTGTACAATAATTAAAAACCATTGAATTCAAAGATGTGATCATTTAAATTTCAGAGCTAAAAATCTGATTCTGAAAGAATGCTACCTTTGAGGAAAAGTTCATTTAGACTCACTTACGTTTTTTTACCCCCTTAAGTACAAGGTGCATATATTAACCAAACTGGCTGCAGAACTGAACAAATTTATGCTGGAAAAAGCGGCTGAGGACACAAGCAGTATTCTGCGCTCCCCGATGCCTGGCGTGGTGGTGACCGTCTCTGTCAAGCCTGGAGACATGGTAAGGACCGAGCCTGTCTGTGGGATGAGGTGGACTGAAGCGCAATCACATTCCGTGCAGCTCTTTCTTGACTCCGCCACCCCCACAAAACCGCTAAATAGCTTTTGCACATTCTCTGTCCAACTGCTTCACATTTGAATTGGGTTAGTAACAGTATCCCTGAGTGTCTCCCCTACCAAAGACCTGGGACTGGAATAGAAATAAGGCCAGAGTCATTCTGTTAATTGGCAAACGCAGTATTTTGGAAGTAGTTTATTTAACATTTCTATTTGCTTTCTAGTTCTCTGTGCTTTAAGTATCCTTGAAGAACTGACACCAAGCGATAGTCCTTTGATGGGGAACTCTCTATGATTTCTGGGGCTAAGGAAAGCTAATTCCATAAACTGTGCGGTACAGAGCACTTCCGTAACTTGATACATATAATTCAGGATCACAGTTTGAAGCTTTTCATCTCGACCTTGTGACATTAAGGCACAAATCAAAGCTATCTTAGTATTTCCTCACATGTTCAGAATCACCATAACATGTTATGGACAGATTGGTAGGATGCATTTTCATAGAGCATGGAGAGAGAGCTCTATTGATTCGCAGCAAAAATTTGTAAAAAGAAAACAAAGATGCAACCAGATTTCTAGGGGACAGTTAAATACTAGCATTTTTATTTATGTGCTGGAAAATCATGGCCCAACATGATAGTCTTTAATGGATGGTATGGCGGTGACTCCATTGTGTGTCTCAGTGAAATCACAGGAGTTTACATACTTTCCCGTCAAGAGTGCATTAAAACTTTCTCTGTATTTCTTTATTAATATACTTAGTAAAATCACATGGAGAAAAACTCATGTAGCTTGCATTGGCCTCTAGAGAAATATTTATAATAAAAGAATATTAAGAAAAAATGATCAGGAAAAAAAGAAAACGATCAGTTTGTTCTTTAAATGATTAGCCCTGAAATTGATAAGTGAAGTCAGAAAACTGACTTAGCAGTTGCTCTTACCTGATGATATAGAAACAGAACTCTACCCACTCTTCTAGAAAGGCATAGGAGAGGCTCAGTAGCTATGAATTGTTATATTTACTTTAAAGGCTTTGACATTCCTGGAAGAAAACCCTCATTAAGACTGTCTTATTAAGGATTTAGGAGAAGTGATACAGAAAATTACATTTATATGTTGAATATGGGGAGGGGTTTGCCTCGTTGGTCTTCATTCTAAAGGGTTAGGGTCCTAAGATGATAGCTCGTCGGCCTTGACATGAAGAATGCTTACACCAAGACGTCGAATCGCTAAGTTGTACACCTGAAACTAATGTAATCTTGTGTGTCAAATATACTATTTGGATTTTGTAAAAATGCCTCCACTCACTCACTGCATTATGAGAGCAGTCAGTGGAATCTTCCAGCAACTAGACGTGCAGGTTGGTAAACAGTGTGGTGGGTTCTTTCTTTTTTTCCGTTTTTCATCTTAAGCCTTTTCTAGAAGCTACATAGGCTGCCATCCTGAGCTTGTCCTAATTGTGTGGCTTTAATTATAAAATCACATTTGCACTTAAAAAAATAAGTGTAACTGAAATCCTTACTTTTCCAACACCTGAATCAAAACCAGAGGCAGGGTGGGGGGCAAGAGGGACTCACACTGTGGTCGGTCTTGCTCCTCCCTTGACACTGGCCTCCCCCACACCACTCCTGGGGCAGAGAACCGGGGAGCATGTAGCCTCCTTGTTTCCAGCAACTGCTTTCTCTAAGTCTGGCTTCTCCAGACACCAGAAGGGTTTAGGCTTCATACTTTCCGTGTCCTGGCTAATAATCTAATGGGGGAAAGCAAAGCATTTAGTAAATTGGAACAACGTGGGGTTAGTCCTTGGTTCATTGGGATAGCTCAGATATTGAAAACCACCACCAGTCATTAAATGTGGGGATTCAAGAATGGTTTAATTTGAGAACCAACTGTTAAAAATGTTACTGTGGGGTCATGGGACCTCTACTTTATGTAGTCCTTTAAAGTCCAAGTCTGGGTGTGCACCCCTAGTGAATTGGCTTCTAGTCTCTGTGTGGTTCCCCTTACTTAGAAATGCTCTCTGCAGGCATGTGCCTAGGCTGGTCAGGGAGAGTGCACACCTTCTTAAATTCTTCGCCCCAGCTTCCGGTGCCACTTTTGGTCCTTGCTGAACTTCCTTTCTTACTCTGTGCCGTCGTGTTTTGGTAAAACAGTATTTTCTCTTGAGTTAGTAGTTGTGAGAAGTGTCCCAAACCATTCCCTTCCCCAAATGCAGGGTGAGAAGCTTCATCTTGGGCTCTTAACAGCAGCTTCTATCATTAAATCTGCCTTGTGTAATTAAAACACAAGAAACTTTCCTTTGACCAAAGGCACATGCTTACTTGAGGCCATTATGAGAAAATAATACTTGTAACTTTTAAGTTTTGTGGTTTTAAATTATTTTAGTGCCACGGGCATGTTGTGTTGTTCTTAGCAATAACAATAGCTGAGCCAAAGTTCCACTTGTATCAGTAGAAAGATAATGGAATCAGTCATCCCGGTGTGTTTTCAAGGAAAACAAGGACGTAAGAAACAAATAGGGGCCTACAGCTCTTCTCGTTTTCTTTGAAGTGTTATTTTTTTATAGTTTGAATTCCAGTAATCTGAAATTTTTATATTCAGGTTAAGTAAAACTTGAGAAATCTTAGAATGGAGCTCCTGGCAATAATGTGTTCCACAAAAGCATCACATAAATAATAAATAATAAATCTGTTTTGTGAGGCAAACAATCTTAACAGAGTTTAAAAAAAAAAAAAAAACCTCAGGGCGAAATGATGTGGGGTGGCTGCTCAAAAGTAAGAAATGCACTCTGAGAGCTTCCTGTGGAAAGGTCTTTCCCCTCCTAAAGCACGGAAGCTGTGTTCTTTTGGATTCACGCCGCAGAAGTTTCTAATATCCTTTCAGTGTCTGTTACATAGTATTTAACATTAAATGTGGCAGTAAAATCATTTTTCAAGTGATTGTAGAGTAGCCTTTTTGAACAAGTGGGAGGGGGTTGTAGTCAACAGTCAAACACATACCAGCAAACAAACCACTAAGAAAGAAAGAAAGCGGATTGTGGAAAGTCAGGAGACACACATTTAATTCAGAAGACAGTTGGCAGAATGACTTTCATATGCTTTTGTCTGTTTTTGTTTTTGTTTTGTTGTTTTTTTTTTGTTTTTTTTTTTGGTAATCAGCCTTCTGAAAATAATTTTGCAACGGACTTTCATTTCAGTTGGAAGAAATCCCTATTTTCCTGTATATTTAGCAGCACCATCATACACTGGTGGCATTTTAATCAAAGCCAGGATTTTTTATAACTTGTTTTAATTTTAAAATGTCTGTCTTTAGGATGTTGTCGAACAACAGTATTAAGTACACATATTCTCTCATAATAATGGCAGAGTGCACCTGCCAGCTTTAGACTGAGAGCTGCTGAAATGGCATAAAGTCAGTAAGGAGCAGAGTTGTTTTGTTAGTCCTTCGATACGAGAAACAAAGCAGAAAATGAGGCAACCCAAGGGGAGACTTGCCTGTCGCAATCAATCAAGATTTCTTCTGAGGTGGGTTCCAGTTAAGCAGACATCTCAGATTTGCATCAGAAATATTCGTCTTCTTGATTACAGTAACAGTGGAGACCTGAACCAGAGGCAGGCTGTGTCCCCACTTAGGTAATTACCACTTTGTGACTTACTAGTTTGTGAGAACAGGTCCAGTAATAGATTGGCAGCAAGTACCTGTTGCTGCTTTTCTTGCCACTTAACCTGTTCAGTATTAGTGAGACAGGCTTGGTGGTATTTTTGTGGGGCCAAGACGAGGGAGATGTACTCGGTGAGGGCACTGACCTTTAACAGCAGGGGAAGTAGGTGTTTGGGACTGTTGTTGTCATGCATGGGGTCTTGGGCACAAAACTATATACTCTAACGTGCACCAATGAAGACAAAATTTGTGATCATTAGTGGGAGTTCCCCCACCCCCCCGCTGGCCCCAGAGTTAGCCCTGATTTTTTTCCTCCTTGCACGTGCTCCTGCAGGGGTTCCGGGGGAAGGTTCCCAAGCAGTTGGATGGCCACTGATCATGAGACACAGGTGCGCTGTTTCAGAGTGTGGCATTCATACCCCCCTCTGCCCCCAGACCATGTGGAGCTGAGCCCACAGCTGATCCTGGGGAAGGCGCATGTAAAATTTGGCAAGAGACCTTTAGTTTTCATTTCTTGAAGAAACAGATTTGGAGCCTCTTTTGCTCTTAGGCATTCTGGATAGCATTGGAATGGGCCCTCCTGACATGTTTATCTGGCAGTGACTTGTATGCCCCGTACAGCCCAGTATAATAATGATAATGGTGTCTTTCCCTGGCAGAGGCCCTGGCTCGACGGATGGATTTTCCAATTTCTGGATATCTTGATGGACACTCGTGAAATCACGACAGTAATTACATTTTCATGTTTTATCGCAGTTTACTTGACAAGATGCCAGTTTTTCACCTAGACCTCAGATGGTATTTTAAAGCAGGTATAAATAAATTTCTGCATTCATTACTTAACATTTCTAAACTTTAAATTACAAAATATTACAAACATAAAGTTACAGAGAATAATACAAGTACTCATGCTCTCTGCGTACCTTTCCTGTATTTCCACTTGTACTTAACCATAAAACATTGCTCACACTGTGGACTTGCCCGTGGCCCCTCCCTACCCTCATCAGATTCCTGTCCTGTCTTCTTCAAAGTGATGGCTACCCGGAATTTGGCCTTATCTTTTCCAGGTAACATTCGCTTTTCAGTGTTTAGGTAAATTTTTATTGGAGGTAACCACCTGAGAATTTTTACAGTGTAACTTAATGATAATTATAAGAGAAATATTTTACAGATCAATCAATAAATACTGTAGGTGAGTCTTCTGCAAGTTGGGCATTTGATTGTATTTTTCAAGAAATGATCCACTTGGGATTAGAGGCTATGTTATCTTCATTTTAACCATTT